GCTGCTGCCCCCTCCCCCGCCTCGCTGCGGCCGGAGGCCGTTGCCCCTGGTGCTGCCGGGGGCCCCGCTCCGGCCCCCGTTCCGCAGAGCCACCCTTGCCAGGGTGTCCCCACCTTTTCCGTAGTGGCGCCCGGTTCCTGCCCCTCCCAGCCCCGCACGACTGGCCCCGGAGCCCGGCGCCTTCCTCGAGCCCGGCTGGAGCGGTTTCGTCTCCTGCGCAACGTGCTCCCCTCTCATCCGTAAGATGTGGCGCCCCAAGCCGCTGCCACGCTGCCCCGCTCCCGGGCCTTCTCCTCCCCCACCAACGCGAGTCCTTGCCGGGCCTCAAGACGGGGTCTGGCGCCGCAAAGGCGGGAGCAGCCCCGCCTCGCAGGCCTGGAGCCCTCTGGCCCGATGGAGCGTGGCGAGGCTGCGGCCTGGTTGCGCTCGCAGGCAGGGCAAAGGGGCAGCCTGACCCCAGGTCTCTCGAGCCCCTGCCAGCCTCCGAGCTTGCAAAGCTGGGCCTGGCGCAGAAACCGGGAGCCGCAGCGTCGCGGGAGAGCTTGATGGAGCAAAGAGCGCTCCCGGGCTGCGGCTGAGCGCAGGCCGGACCTTCCTCACCCGCCCGCCGGGACGCGGTCAGAGCAAGTGGGCACTGCTCCCTGCCCGGCGACCTGGGCCGAGTCTGTCCGGCAGCACCCCAGAGCTCGGAGCATGCCTTCAACCCGCCTCCCGCACCGGTTTCAATCCGCCTCCCGCACCGGTGTCCCCCAGATCGCTGGCGCCATGGGCTTCGGTGCTGCAGCGAGGAGGCAGGCTGCCTCCACCGGAGCCCGTGCTCGTCTCCAGCAGCTCACGTCAGCACTTGGCCCGATCTTATCGCTGGTGCTTCCCTGAGCCCTCTGCCTCCCTCCGTCCTATGGGCTTTGTGTCCCAAGATCCAGCATACTCCAGCAGCTCCCCTGGCAGCAGCACTTTGAATCCCTGGGAGCAGCAGCATCACCTCCCCCTGAAGCTCCCCGAGCCGAACCACACGCAGCCCGGAGTCTGCAGGGAAAGGCTACACCATGCATGTTGCACAGGCATAATGCAGGCGCCGGCAGATGTTCCCGCTGTCCCTCCTCGACCCCACAGCAAAGGTCTCAGCCACCCCAGGCTCCAGGGAGATGCCTCTGATGTCCTCTGGGAGCGAACTGCCATCGGCCTCGTGATCCCTCTAATGATGCTGCCGTGAGGTCCATGTTGAAAGGGGGGCGATTACAGCTGATGGATGGTCGGGCACCAAGTGGGATCCCTAAGACCACAGCTGGTTTCTTGTCTCTGGGACTGGGAGATGGAGCCGCAGTCTCGTGGCTGCAAGGTGCTGTTTTGGAGCTGTCCATCCTCCTCCTCTTTAGCAAAGCAAGCATAGCCTGCTCCGTTTTCTGGAGGTAACAGGGCAGGTCCCTGCCCCCTATGACTTCTGCAGCTTGACGCCATGCTGCCGCGGAGGAGCAGTACAGGGGAGCAGTGCAGCTGCGTCGGGGATGTTGCAAGGACTCCAGGACAAGCGGCAAGGAGGCAGCTCCCCCTTTAAAAACCCATGCTGTGTTTCATGCTGGGCCCAGCGCCTGTGGGAGCGTAGTTGACCCTGGGTAGCTGCCCATGCAGGGCAGTAGTGTTCCCAGGGGTGTTCTTGGGTGCTGAGTCCCAGGGGGTTGATTTTGGGAGCTCCTAGTACGGGGGATATTGAAAAGTGGGGCTGCAAGGCACCTCCAGAGGTCACATCTAGTCCAACCCCCGGCCTGAGGCAGGATTGGGATTTCACCCCAGACTGATCCTTTGTCTCACCTCCATCTCCTCTTTCACAGGGGCAGGGAAATTTCTCGGAGAGACCCCGAAAGACGAAGGTGCCCCGAGAAGTCCAAGATGCACGCTGACTTGCGTGCAGGCTTAAACCAGACCCGGCTGACTCTGCGCTCCCTCTGGTACACGCACGGGTGCTCTGCACGTGTTCCCCACCCAGCAGCGCTCAGGCTTTCACCCCGGCGGTCACAGGAGACAATGCACAATGCTAACGCGGTGGGGACCACGTCTGCTGGGTTTGGCTTGGCCGGTGCTTTGCTGCTGCAGAGAACCTGCCTGTGCCTTGCTGGAGGTTATCGTCAGAGCAGGAGAAGGAGGGACCCGCGTGGAGCCTTGCCAGCCTTCTGCAGCAGAGCACTCCCCTGTGCTGCATTTGTCACTCGGCCCGTGGGGCTGCTTCCCTCCTCCATCTCGAGAGCGTGCTGTGTGCCCTGCCCTGCCCTGCCCTGATCCTGCCCGGAGCAGCCGCCCCGCTGCATGAGAATGCGTTGTGACACATGAGCTACCGCTTCTGCCACGAGTCTGCACAGCAAAGCCAGAGCGCCTGGTCCCAAGGCATCTGCATGCACCGTGACGAAACCATGGCCATGAGCGCCCAGGGGCCTGCAGCCCGTGTTGTGGAGACTCCCATCCCACAAGGGGAGGATAAAGCCTGGCAATCCTTCCCGAGTCCCCGGGCCTGGCTGCAGTACAGCTGAGGCAGGCGACCCCGCGAAGCGCCACCCAGGATGGGGTGCTCCAGGTACTAACGCGCCTTACTCTACTGGGCAGCAAGGAATAAAGACCCCTGGACTCTGGGAAAAGGATGCACTGGACTAGGCTGCTGATTCCCTCCGTGCTAAGGTAGGGACCTATGGACACTGTATGGCGGGGCAGGAAAGGGGGGGGGGGCTCGTATCAATCCCAGCACC